AATATTTGATATAGAACTTCTTTCAAAAACATAAAAAAATCAACCCCAAATTTTTTTTAACTAATTGTGAAAATTCCAAACTGATCTGAACATATACTATTGCATAAACATAGCACATTTGAAAACATCATGGACATTTCTTTTTTGGAGTAAAACCAAGTATCATTAACCTTGTGCTACAAAATCTTTCTTTTAACAGTGAAATTCAATAGGTACATAGTCGATGTGTGCATTGTGTGAAAGAGCATTGTTAAATGCCAAACTTGAAAGATCTTTTAAAAGTTGCTCTCTTTAGTAATTTAACCAGTGCGTTCTCGTTAATTATCCTGATAGAGAGAAACAAGTCTAAGATTCATAAAGAGACAACATCTGCAAGAGCAGCCACTGCGATAATACAAGATTAGCTCAGCCGTCCTCGGGTTAATTACTACACTACTGTTGAAGTAAAGGTTAAACAGAGGTGAGTCATGTTGGCATTTAACTTGTATTTCCTCCACACCTGAAGCGTGAACATTTGAGTCAACTCTAAAGCTCAATCACGGGAGACGTTACTAAGGAAGGGTGCATTTTAACACGCGAGTTAAATGTTTTAAATGAGAAGGCATTCCAAGACTGGCATTATGAAAATGTCATTGCACTTCTACCGGGTGAAAAGTGATTTCAAGAGGTGAGACGTCCTGCAAACCCAGCTGAAAACTGCCGTGGAAATTTGTTATTGCTGTGATTAAAGCTGCAAAAAGACTTCTAAATGCATATTAAAATGGCTGAAAGAGACTGTCTCTTATATTAGGAAGGGGGAATCTGTGTTGTTTCCCGTGGGCTTAATGATGCCTGTATGTGAGAGATTAAGATAAATTTGTTCATTATTCTTTTCTTTACACCCTCTTGACCCTCAAAACAGAGCTGAAGATTTCTAGGTTTAATGAAAAGGATGCACCCATTTAATCAGCCAAACAAACTATTTAATTAAACTTTTCAGTGAACACTTGAGTCCCGCAATTCCTCAAATCAGTCCACCCTCCTTGAAAAATTAGTGTTTTAATCAGGCAGTCATTTGTAGATCGCTTCTTCTACTTTGTGTGTGTGTGCATTGGAGTCTGCACATGTGTGAGAGCCCGCGAGTGAATGGAGCCCTGTCGAAACTGATTAGCTTTGTAATTACTCTCCAGTCTCCGGTCAGCGCTAACAGACATGTTTAATGCTATGCGTCAATCTACAGTCTCGCGATGGAACGAGCAGGGAATTCTAAGATAACAGCACTTGGAAGAACTGTGTCTCAAAGCTCACTTTAGTTTTGTGACAGGCCTTTCAAGCTGAATGACAAAGCCAAAGCAGCTAACCAAACATTTGATGCGGATCCAGTCGGTATTATGCTGAATGGAATGTGATTTACAATTTTTGGATGGGAATTGGAGTGATGTGGGGATTATAGCAATAGGAAGAGACAGATGTGGAGAGAGAAGAGGAATTATCTCTTAGAAACATCAGGGGAAATGCAGTGGAATGTAATGGAGCTGAGCTAACAAACATGAGGCTAGTAAAGAGTCTTGGACGCAGAAATAAACGCTGTGTAGACCATTGCAGCCAGTGAACCTTCAGTTAAATCAGGGGTGTGTTTGTTTTTAAATATATATACACTTTCACCTTAAAACTTTAGTGATTGGATGTCACATCATATAACATATATATATATATATATATATATATATATATTTGTTGAAGGTGCCCAGTAGCTTCTCATGCTTGAGTTGTATAATATTTTCTGTTATTAGAGTTAACTACACAAAGTTATATGGAACTGTAATGTGGTCAAATAATAGCCTAGACATTTTGAGAAAGAATATTACAATTTAAAATAACAGAATTTTCAGCATCATTACTCCAGTCTTCAGTGTCACATGATCCTTCAGAAAACATTCTAATATACTGATTTGATGCTCAAGATATATTTATTATTGTTATCAATGGTGAACATGGTTGTGCTGTACTTTTTTATTAAAACTGTGATTCATTTTTAAGTATTTTTTGATGAATAGAAAGTTCAAAAGAACAGCATTTATTTGAAATATATATTTTTTGTTTTATGTCTTTACTTTTTCACTTTTGATCACATATGTAATATAAAAATAAAAAATAATATATGATGTAGTATAAATTATATATATGTCAGATATTTGCTTATTTCTTAATCTTACAGTGATGTGAATAAGTCTGGAAACCCATGCTAAAGTTGCCTAAAAAGAGGAATAAAAAAAAAATCATCTTTTGGAAATTGATCTTAGGGTTCTATATATGAAGCATAGGGTTCTGTATAGAACCTTTTAGGGGTTTCAAATACGTAGCACTGATAGAACCTTTTAAGGTTCTATGTAGAACCTTTTCTTCTTGGTATGCCATACAATACTGTTCTATTCCAAATTATCACCCAATACCATAAAAACTAGGTATTGATGGAGATGTACACAAACCGAAAGAAACACCCACTGTATTTAGGCCCACTCTTAGAGGACTTCTCTCATCTTTCATTCAGATGGTTAATTGACTTTGAGATGTTCCAGTGGAGATAAGTACTGTAAGTGGAGTTTGGAGTTTATTGTCTCTGCAATTTAGTCATTCGGCAAAAAAAAAAAAAAAAAAAAATCCACTGGTACATAAAAAAAATCTCTATGCAGTATTTTGTCACCATCTCTCCTGCACTTTATCACCTTCTGTCTGTTCTCTCTTTCCCTCCTTTTCTTTTCAACCTTGCTTCTCTCCCCTAACTAAGTAACGGATTTGACATGGCGAGAATGTGGCAGACGTAATTTAGCTGGAGTGGAATCAGCCGCGGCTCTTTGTGTCCTGTTCATCTCTTTAAATGTTCTCCTTGAGCAGAGCACACGCTTCATCCAGTCAGCTCTAACGAGTGCCAATGAATTCCCTTCAAGACACTGCATGGATATTTCTCCCCCCTCAGGAAGGTGTTTATATGTGCCTTAGAGACAGAAGAATAAAGCGAGACAAAGAGGGAAGGAAACAGAGGAAGGATTTCACAGGTTTAGCTTTGGTGTAAATGTGTTCAGTGTCTCCGGGGGTATTCTTCTCTGGCGGATCCTAGATTTCACTTCCACTGATTGATTGTGCAAAAACTTCTATACAGAAATATCCAAACCAACTTCTAGGTAATTTGGATCTGTGGCGGCAGTTCATTAGTACTAATCAGCAAAACAGAGGTTCTGTTGTGTGCTAGACAAGGAAGGACTTTATACATTTTTAATATTATTGCTTTGTTTTTCAATTATTTAGTAGATTTCACCATTTCATTGGCAGGTCTTGTCTGGCCAAATGTTATTTTCTTGATCGGGTTAACTCTAAAATTAAATGTGTATTTTAATATAAAAAAAGACTTTGCAAAGCATAGCAATCCCAAAAGTGGATTGGTCAGTTCTCTGACGATACTGTAGGTTATAATATCGGGGAAAAATACTTACTGTAATGTTATTTTCCGAAGAAAATAACATGCTGGTTGCAGAACTTTTTGCAGACATGAGATCTGTTCCTAAATTCATTTTAAATTCAGTCTAAAAACTAATTTTTCTGAAGCGTTTAGAAATAGTATGGAAGCCCTGAACCGCAAGGTGAGAAAAAAAGAAAGAAAACGTAAAGTCGTTAATCTGTATTTTGTAGTATACTTTATTATGAGAATCATATAGAAATGCACGCACAATTATCCGTGAGCTTGAGAAATGTTGCAGATTTAGTTTTAGGATTCAAACTAAATGCAGTGTAACAACAACAATACAGAATTCAACAAATGCAGTGCAACAACAATAGTTAAATTAATACTATTATTATTAATAATAATAACACTTCGCAGGCAGTAGTGGTAGGTTAAGGCAGTACAAGCCCTGAAAAATAACGACTTATGTCGAAATAACGAGATATTATGTCGTAATAACAAATTGTCGTAATAACGAGATATTATGTTGAAATAACTACATTATGTCGTAATAACGACTTATGTCGTAATACGAGATATTATGTCGAAATAACAACTTATTAAGTCGAAATAAAGAGATATGTCGTAATAACGAGTTATGACGTAATAACGAGATATTATGTCAAAATAACTAGATATTATGTTGTAATAATGACATATTATGTCAAAATAAAAACTTATTCAGTTGAAATAAAGAGATATGTCGTAATAACGAGTTATGACGTAATAACGAGATATTATGTCGCAATAACGAGATATTATGTCGTAATAATGAGATATTATGTCGAAATAGATATTAAGTCGTAATAACGACTTATGTCATAATAACTAGATATTATGTCGAAATAATGACTTATTATGTTGAAATAAAGAGATGTCGTAATAACGAGATATTATGTCGAAATAACGACTTATCAAGTTGAAATAACAAGATAAGTTTTCGTTCTTTTTTTGTCACCTTGCGGTTCAAGGCTTCCGTAAAATATAAATAAATTCAATATTTGTTGAAATTTAATTTTGACCTCAAGACCCACTTCAAAAACAGACAGAAAACTGTCATTCAAAATACATCAAGGCAACTTTACATAACAAATATTTGTGTGAGATAATATGTTTTCCTTTAATGGATAAAATAGTATATTTCTGATAAAAGTTGTTGTAAAAAATAAAATTATCATCAGTGGACATGAAATCTACCCTAAATTGTAAAATGAGTGTGGTATTACTTTTCTGTGTGATCAGATGCTGCAGATCCCATAGATAGACTTACGTTGAAAGAGGGACTAGAAACCAAATTATTACAAACTTTGTCCAGTATGCAAACGCTTCATAATAACCACCCACAACAAACTTCATAGAACGTGCATAAAAGTATTTTTCAGACAATATAAAAACGTGAAGGTTGTGGAATTTTTGTATCTGATATCTAATTTTCCATACAACTGTATATAAGATGTCTTATCTTTCTAGAAAGAACAACTGTGACTATTGTAACTAGCTACTGTGTGTATTTCTGTTGCAGGTTTGAGACCAACAGGCTGACAGAAGATGGCATTTCTGAGGCATGAGATTACGGTTATCTTATCCCTGTGGGCTTCTCTCCTTTATGTTGCACAAATGTCTCTTCCACTGGTGGCAGAAGCACCTAAAAGAAGCCAGTACATCTGGAATACAGGTGGGTTGCCAATATTTCCTCAGGTTTTTCTTCTTGGGACGACAGGAAGAAATTAATTTACGCTCCCTCTAGGTGAATTATGAGAATTTTTCTGCCATGATTACTTGCCATCACTTACTCACTGTCACGTCGTTACAAACCTGTATGACTTTCTTTCTTCTGTAGAACCGACACAATAGGACTTTTTGAAAAATATGATCCAAAAAAACATAAATCAATAGAACTATTCCTTTAGATATTTCTCTCATGAAAGTGCCGTAGGGAGCTAAGGTTTTCAATGACTCAAAATTTTAGAATATGGTGCACATGTTGCTTTAATGTGGATTTTTTTTTCTTTGATATAAAAACAATCAAGATATCCTTCAAAAAAAGACTCTCTTTTTTATAGTATTAGTAACGGTGTGAGGTAAACGTTGATATCATTTTCATTCTTTAGTAGTGCACAGGTAAACTTGTGTGATATTTTAGACAGACAAAAATGCATCAATTTTTCTTTTTTTTCTGAAAAGCTAAACACAGTTTGTGTTTGTAAGATCCATTCACAGCCTGAGGCAGAAAATTCTGACACTCTGTGGTTGGAGAAATCACATATTATTGGGATTGCATAATCAAATGTGTGAATTGCCATTTTTGGTGCAGAACATTCAGTCAAGAAGCAAGGTAATTCACAGTTCTGCAATTGATAAAGGGAAACAGAAGTGTTGAATAAAAAAAGAACTAGCGGTCCATGTTGGATATTGATCCTTGTTGCCACAGATCTTGGATCAGCAGGCATGTATGTACGGTAGTTCAGAAAACTGTGAGACCATCTGCCTGTCTTATCTGTGAAGTCTGATCAATCTTATATCCAGCTGGAGTTGCACTGAGAATTCCTCATGTCGCCATGGCAACAATTGTTAAGCGGGAGATTGACGGCTCGCAAAGAACAGAAGATTATTTCTTGTCCTATTAATGCCGTCCGTCGCATCCAAGCTACTCTGAGCTCATTTCAAGACGCCGCAATTAAGCACTTCTCCAGTACTTGTAACAAAACATCCAACATTTGGCTGTGAAGACCTCGGACAGGGAGTTCATATCAGTCAACTGCCGTTCTCAGTAAATATTCATTTAACTTCTTTGACTGAATGCAGGGACCAAATTGTGGGGGGGTTGAAATGTCTGAGCACTCTTGTTTAAGGAATAGTCTACCAATCAATTTATTGTACAAGCAAAAGTGTCCATGCAGTAACAGGGAGATTATAGGGAAGCAGTATTTGGATGGTCATGGGATCTGATTTATTTCTTTATGTGTAAACTTTTTTTAATCTTAAAGGAGTAGTTCACTTTTCAAAAAACTTTTGCTGATAATTTACTCACCCCCACGTCATCCAAGATGTAATTAAGGTTTTTGATGAAAACATTCCAGCATTTTTCTCCATAAAATGGACTTTACTGGTAACCAAACGGTTCAAGGTCCAAAAGACAGTTTCAGTGCAAACTGTTCAAAGGGCTTTAAAGGTTTCCAGACGATGAATAAGGGTCTTATCAAGCGAAACGATCAGTCATTTAAAAAAAATAATTCAGTTTAAGTTTTATAAGCTCAAATGTTCGCCTTGTTCTGTTCTGTGACGCACGTTTGTGACTCTGCTGCTCGAACTCGTTCATCAAAATTAATGAACGAATCATTTTCCAAGTCAATTCGTTCGTTTCATTTGTTGAATGAACCAAATGACTCGAAAAAGATTTTTCATTTGTTCATATTAAATGAGCGATTGTTTCACTTGATAAGACCCTTATTCGTCTGGAATCGTTTAAAGCCCTTTGAATAGTTTGCGGTTTGCACTGAAACTGTCTTTTGGACCTTGAACCATTTGGTTCCCATTGAAGTCCATTATATGGAGAAAAATGCTGGAATGTTTTCATCAAAAACCTTAATTTCTTTTCGACTGAAGAAACAAAGACATGGACATCTTGGATGACATGGGGGTGAGTAAATTATCAGCAAAAGTTTTTTCAAAAGTGAACTACTCCTTTGATAGAGCTTTCTCACATATTGTTCACAAGTTGGGCTCGGTACGAAATTGTATTTTTTTGGAAGAAATAAATACTTTTATTGAGCAAGGATGCGTTAAATTGAAAAAAAAAATGCCAGTAAAGACTTTTACATTGTTCAAATTGTCATAAAAACAGTTATTAATATTGATAATAATAAAAAATAAAAGTTGACTGAGCAGCAAATCATCATATTAGAATGAATTCTGAAGGATCATGTGACACCGAAGACTGGAGTAATGATCCTGGAAATGCAGCTTTTGCATCACAGGAATAAATTACATTTTAAAATTTCAAATACAAAACGCTTATTTTAAATGGTAATTATATTTCACAATATTACAGATTTTTACTGTATAAATGCAGCCTTGGTAAGTTAGAATCAGGTCAGACAAAACATACTGTAATATATATATATATATATATATTTGCATATTATAAATATCACAGAAAATGGACATTTCAGTAATTGATCTAGGGCACCATAAGATACTTTCAGAAGTGTGTTTTAAAAAGTGGACTCGCTTGAAAGTTATCGTGAAACCCGCACTGATTGATGGCTGCATGGACATATCAACAGGTCTAATGCTAATGAAGGCAACTGTGAAAATGCTTTATAGATGAAGGTTGATATAAGGACGTTGAAGTTTTTCTGTGAAGCAGTGGCCATTCTCAGAGGTCTCCTCCCGTGCTGTGTGTGGATCGAACGGCAGCTCTGCGGGTCCACGGGGTGATGATTCCTGCAATGTAAAATCGATACTAGTTTCATCCTGAAGGAGTGTGTCCACTTTTGTTCTGAAGAAGTGCTCATTTGTGCACCTACACACTTTCTTTTATACTCAAGGTCTGATTTTCTTGAGCTTTTTTGTGTGTCTGTGCGTGCACTTAATTTTGTTCAGTTTTCCTGGAAATGAGAAAAATTAATTGGAGACAGGAGAGCAAATTCTTGAGTTTGCATCTTTAAAGCACTCTGAAGGCTTGAAAGCATAATTTTGAAGAGTTCCTCATCCCGAGCTGGACAGAAAATGACTCTGTCTCACAAAACATGAAGGTGAAAATGAACCTTCCACAGACAGATGAAGACAGGCAGTCTGATGGTAGCAGATTGTTTTTGTTTTTTTTAGCAAGATTATGGATGGAGATATTGTAACCTTTTTTTTTGGACAAAAATGTGTACATGCCAATGCAAATGAGATGAATCGTCATTTTTTGGTACGTTTCTGAATAGAACTAACATTTTGTGCACATGTATCTGCTTTTCAATATAGGTTTAGGTAACAGACAAAAAAGCCATAAAACCTCAATTTTGATGCCACTTTGATTGAAGTATTTAACATTTCTTTTGACATTTTGATTTACAAGATGATTTAACCCACTACATACTTTGCAGTTCAAGTTTTTGCATCAGTCATGTCTCATGTTCAACTGTTTCAGCTAGAACATGTCTTCACACATAAAATGCATGTAATTTACAATAAAATATACAACATGGTATAAAAGTATGCAGTTCATATGGAAGCCCTGGAAAAATGAAAAACATGGAAAAATGCACAAAAATGCAGCTGTTTTTATTTTTCTAAAATGTTTGTATACCTGTGAAGCATATTAAGCTGCATTTTAGAGGTTCAAATATTTATACTACTACTACCTAAGACATAATTGTATTATCATTATTAATATTTTATTATTATTTGTCACCAGACTGAAAAAAAAGTATCCGTATAGGATAGGGCATGTCTTCCCATGAATAATTCATGCATCACTGATCTAAAGGTGCACAATAGTCTTCAGTATAATGCAATACAAAATAAATTCATTACGGCAAAAGAGATAAATAGAAGTTTTATTACTATTTATTTTCTGTGGAAAGAGCAGGACCAAGAATGTAGCTGTGTGTCTGCCAAAACGATAGGACAGTGATGACCTCTCCAATTATAATTTCCTTTGTTAAATGCTTTTTTTTTCTGTTTGTATGAAAAGTCCACAGAAAAGTGAGCAATTCTTCAGCAGTGAATATTGACCATCTATTATCCATTTGCCTTTTGTTTTCTGTTCAGTTCATTAGCTGTTCACTCATTTCTTTCTTTCTCTCTGTATGATTAATTGCTGGAGGGAACGAGGAGAAATCAGCACAGTATAAGGATGTACGCACGCACACAGAGAGAGAGAGAGAGAGAGAGAGAGACTTTCATAAAATACACATAGTTGGTGTTCATGAGATGATTCCTGTTACTTCAGAAGTCCTTGTTCTCTCTACAGGAGTTCTAGTTCACAATAGACTGCCGAAAGGTTGACATGATCTAAATACTGGGATGGATAATTGCATTATATTGAATAACCTTTAAGATACATGAAATCTTTTCATTGCACAAAGGTTTTTATATAGTTGAAAAAGGCTTCTTTAGGTTTTTTTATATGGTTGTTTGAAGAACTGTTCAGTATGGTAGCTTGTTTCCGCCACAGAATGAAAAATAAAAAGTCAGAATTGCGAGATATAAAGTCAGAATTGCATGATATAAAGTCAGAATTGCATGATATAAAGTCAGAATTGCGTGTTATGAAGTCAGAATTGTCTGATATAAAGTCAGAATTACGAGATTTAAAGTCACAATTGCAAGATATAAAGTCGTAATTGCAAGATATAAAGTCATAATTGTGTGTTATAAAGTCAGAATTGCGAGATATAAAGTCAGAATTGCGAGATATAAAGTCAGAATTGCAAGATATAAAGTCAGAATTGTCTGATATAAAGTCAGAATTACGAGATTTAAAGTCACAATTGCGAGATATAAAGTCACAATTGCAAGATATAAAGTCGTAATTGCAAGATATAAAGTCATAATTGTGTGTTATAAAGTCAGAATTGCGAGATATAAAGTCAGAATTGCAAGATATAAAGTCAGAATTGTCTGATATAAAGTCAGAATTACGAGATTTAAAATCACAATTGCGAGATATAAAGTCACAAT